GAACGGATGGCAAATGAAAGTGTATTGAACGCCCGTTGATAAATAGGCGATGCGGAGGCCATTGAATTAGATATCCCTGTCCCTTTGACCCCTTTACAAATTGCACTGCGCTGCTAATGCGAGAGAATTCCTGAAGGTTTTTAGGAAAGCTTGGAGACGAAGTTGAAGAAGTATGGACTAGAGCTCGAGCCAGCAGTAAGCGATTCAAAGAGGATTATTCTCGTTAGCAGGAATTATGCTGCAAGTGAACGTGTTAAGCCCGTACCCATAGAAGTCATGCCAGCTTCATCGTGCTGAATGAGAATTAATCGTTACGGATTTGAAACTGGCGAACACATTGCAACCAGGTTCAACCCTGCGTTGCGCAAATTCCAAAATTTTTACGACCCCCTCCTTTTCGGAGGGTATCGGTACGACCCCCTCCCCTTTTTAACTATTATGTCTTTCACATAATCTAATGCTCATCATTGATGTGTGGGCAGTCACCGACATGAAGAAGTGGTGGACCGCGGCCAATCCGCGCGTATTGTCTCGCTCAGGGGACGGGAACCGAGGCAACATGAAGTTTTATTCAATAAATAGAAGGAATTTGCAAATTTTTGCGTAAACCAATATATGATAAAAATCACAGAGATTTATACTTTCAGAAACCTACCAAAATTTTTTTTCGATCCCTCAATTTTCCTTATTTGATAATCTGAAAAAACTAAACCTTGTAGCAATTACGTTGCAATCGAAACCCCTCCATTCAGGAACTTATATTTTCTTCAGAAGCGGTCTCATGGATTCGGACATTAAAATTTCATAAAATTCAAATAGTTCTCTTTCTGAAAAGTATTTGAAATAATGCGAATGTTCTATATCTCAGAAAATCGTCCCGTTGTTCCGTTTTTTGTGCACACGCGAGTTTTGGACATTCAAGCACTCCTAGCTTTCTTCATAAGCAACTTTTTGCAGATTCAAGGCTAATTAGAAACCAGAAGATTGGAGCTTCCAAACAGGTACCTCAACCTCCAACGATCCCTCTCTCAAAAAATAGTCCCGTTGTTCCGTTTTTGTCACCTTGATTTTTTCAAGCCATTTTCATGGACCGCGACTATGCAGTCTTCAAAGGCCCATAACTTCCTTCGAAGTTGATATGATGAGAAGCGGTTAAGACTGTAAGAATCTTCTCAAAGAGGACTTCAAAACAAGTGTAAAATTTTCCTGAAATTCTTTCTTTTGCCTCAATTTTCTTAAGGGGTCTCTAGATCAAAGCAAATTCGCTACACATTGTTCCGCTTAGATGTGATTTGAAAGCATGGAAATTCTCTTCAGGAAGTTTGTCTGCTCACGGCCCCTGACAGAGAAGGCGTTTTTATGGGAAAACGCCTGCTCGGGTATACACCGTGCACCTGTCTGTGGACAGAAGTTGCACTCGCATTTGAAAACCCCCGGTTTTCCTGAAGGTGTTAGTATCGTGACTGAGTTGCAATGCATTGTCATATGGTACTCTTGTTCCACTTCCCTATAAAGGCTCTACTTTTTGTTCTCCTTGGGATTTCAGGAATGTTCGATCATCGAAGACGACCATGTTTTTGCACTGCACCTTGCCGTAACAAAGTTTTTGGCTATTGTAATCTTGATCAATGCTGTCGAGTGAAAGCTCTGTCCGTGTATAAAGGATAATAATGACTGATAGTGAGTTTTATAGTGCTTTGCATGTTCTAATGCTCCCATGGAGCTCTTGTCTGTGCGACTCTCCGGCAGATGCACGGTGCAGAGCTCCTGGAGAACATTAGAGCGCGAATGTGCACTGCAGGACACTGCACTTTTCAAGCCGTCTTGCAGCTCCGTCTCTCTAGATACGACCCCCACCCCTTTCGTCCGACCTAGTACGACCCTCTCGTTGTTCTTTGCGCTACGGAGGGTTGACCCTAATTGCAACTCTCCCCACCCACCGCGATTGGTGCTCTCTTACGTGTTTTGAGTTCACTGGTCGCCCTGTCTCTCTGTTGTGCCAGATCCAACCTCAGTGAAGATTCCAGACTCCGATAGTCTTGCTTTCTTTTCAACTCCATCTTTCATTTCATCCCACAGCTCAATCATCACTACGAAGCGTTCTTATACACCAATTCAATTCAATTATTTAGATATCAATTATTCAGATATTTGCATTTACAGTCGCAAGTTCTGCAAAAAAGGTCCAAGAATTCAGCCACTAATTAAGGAAATAAGTTGCCACAAACGCAAGTGATACATGGATAACTTCCAATACCACTCTGTGTACGCAAGTGCACGGGCAACGTTTAATACCCGCCTTATAATCACAGAGGATGCAAAAAAATATAGAAGATAGAAACGACTACCTGCTCATCGTTCTGGTTGCTCTCATTCGAGTACAGATCTTGAACATCACTGAAAACCACGTAATACACGTTAAGTCTTCAAAATTCAGGTTTTTCAGATGTTTTAAAAGGAACACACTGGGGAAGCCCTAGTACTTCTGCAAGCATCCCCAACTAGGATATAAGGAGTTGTTCACTGCGTATTGATTGCACTACTCATGTGATTAGGTACCGTGCTACGAAATAGTAAGAGGAAAGGCTAGACGATTTCAGCCGGGTGAGTTTGACAACAATATCAACGGGTACAAGTGCAAGACTATGTAGAATGTGTAATATGTATTACTAATGTTGACAGTTATTACGTATTGTGTTGCATGTTACCACGTGACCCATAAAACCTCACAAAGACATCAATACTGATTTAACTGCACTACAAATAACGTTATCTAATTTTCAGTCACTAGTGGTCATAAGTATGATGTCGTAAGTAAAATGGAGGTGATGCAATTAGCACCCGAGCGTCAACCTTCCTTCCTATCCTTTCCTATTCCACTGATGCACGACGTTCTCAAAAGCTGCGTTCACTACTCAGCGCGAAACGTAACTTCCTGTCGAATCCTCCTCTTCCTGCCGATGACAATCGCCTTGTAGAGTAATAGAATTCTGGCCGTAACCTTGCTGGAGAGTTCACGAAAGTCCCTTCAGTACTGTGTAGGCACTTGTTCGTAATACGTGCCGAACCCTCGTCAAAGCCTTTCTTGTCATGACTTTGGTCAGAGTATTTTCCTATGAAGGGTAGCTCACTGCTCTAGGAAATCTTTTGTAGGTATCAGATAACAGAAGAGTGGGCGGTGTTTGCGTATGTCGTGCAAAGTTTGGTTCTCAAATAACAGTGAGTCCTACTATTAGGTTGGAAAGAAAGTTCTGAAACACCCCACAGCCAAAATTTTAAATTCATTTTTTTAACCTTCGTTTTTTCTAAAACCCGGAACATATTGACCATTGATCTTTTGGAGTCGGATTTACAGTCCTTCTCGCCGTCGAGCTTTCTGTTCTCCAGGTAATGAGCGAGCGAGCAGGAAAGGTGGAAGACAGTTTGGATAGGTTCGACGAATATGGCAGACAGGCAACCGCTGTCCAGCATAGCTTGAGAATCTTGTGGTATGAGACCGAAGACCCGCGCTGGAGCGCGTTGTCGTGAAGCAGATTGACTTGGCGCTGTATTCCGTTAAGCTTTCCTGTAATCGTTCCGAGCAACAGGAGCGGGTAGCCCTTGTCATCGTCAATACTGCAGACAGATCATAACCCATAGAAATACCGTCAAAATCCCAGAAGTTTGACAACATCACCATTCCTCAATAGTTGTCAGGTCAAGGCATTGAACTCCACTTTCCCATATTCCAAAGCGCTGCTGCTTTCGCATATGGTTAAAACAGACGGTCCATTTGCCTTTGCCAATAGCCACATTCCGCGGCCTATCGTTGCTACTGTGCGAAGTACATGTGCAGATGTCCACCCGGTGAAATCGTGCGGTGCCCATCGACCACATTTCCAAGACTTGTCTAATTCCTGAAGAGCTTAAAGAAAGTGCGGTGAGAGCATTCAAGGTGCACTAATATACAGTGTGACGACTGTCTTGAATCATCCTCGATTACGGCGCCGACGACGTCTTGATGATAGTAGTCGTACGTTGCGTCAGAGGGATCAAAGTTTCCGCTGCGTAGCGTTCAAGCCGTAATGAAGGCACCACTTGAGATATCACGCTCCATTCAATCACTGAACAGATTCTGAGCACCTCTCGTGAGCTGATGTGTCCAGGCGAGGTACGCAGAAGATGAGCGCTCGGAGTGTCTCGTGGGAAAAGTTGATCTAGTGCGATGCAAACGCCATTATTGGGAAAGCTGACTTGAGCACCTTACGCAGCACAGTCCGCTTCTACTCTATACCCCCCCCCCATGGAAGATTACAGCATTCGGGAGAAATTCAGAAAGAGCGTGAATTGAGTGTTTCAGAACTTTCTTTCCAACCTAATATTTATACGTTGGATAATTGGCCTTTTGTTAGCTAGCGCCCAAAGAGTCTGGCCGCAGTCTTGATTACTCAAGGTGAATGTTTGAGGTGTTCTGGTTCGATCGTTTGGGGGAGTGGTGCTGCTTAGTTCTTTGACGACAAGGACGCGGACTATGGAGTTGGGAACATAGAAGGAAGCGTGTGTCCTGATCACCCTTTTGTAATGCGGTGACTGTTTCATTTGGATGTCAAAGACGAGTCATCCTTAAGTTTACAAATGACCACGCTCCGGCGGTAATTACGCAGACTCCCGCGCAGCCGCTGCTACTTCTGCTGTTAGCAGTCGCCTCATGCAGTCCGCCATCTACCAATTCATGCTAGTTGAATAGGTGAGAGTGAGGGGCCTTTAGCCTCATATATCCGTGCACACATTCATAAAAGGAACCGCACTCATTCAGCAGCTTCTGCTCCATAGTGGCTGCTTGTGAATGATGGATTTAGAATGAGAAGATAGCAACGTGATTCGAAGAACCCCTACTCAATGTAGCGCGATCGATTCAGCGTTGTAGGTAAAGCGCAAGGGGACAATAAATTTTAGACATTCGCACAAGAGCATCGATTATGATCGAGCTTCAGTCATACAACATACATGTGGTGCTTACCTCACCATTTCGGCTGGACTTCGAAGTCGCTCTCGTAAAACACCACTCCGTTTCTGGGCGGAGCGGGCACTATTGGTAGCGCTCGCGTTCGGTACGTGTTCACCGTCGAAATGATCCAAGCAGTGCTGGAGTCGATCATTTGTGCCACTTGGATTTCTGTGGACGTGTAATTGAGCTCCGTTGATATAACATACAGGATGGGGCAAAACTATGGAATCCAATCGAAGGCAGCGTTACAATAGGATCAAGAGTGGTTTACAGGAGTGTGTCCACTGTCACGTGACACTGTTTGAAGGTGGCGGACTTCCTTTAAACGCTGGGTCCTGCCACTACTGGTCGTTGGTACCTAGTTCGATTCGCTGGTACATCTTTCGACTAGCTGGCGCAAAGTTCGATTCGCTGGGGCAACGTTCGATTCGCTGGCGCAACGCTCGGATCGCTCGATTCGCAAACTATGACGTCGGCCGTAGCTTTCCGCATTTTCGACTCGAGGGTGTCGAGCGGACTGAGGTTCGGCGAATTTAATGTCATTCGTCACCGTTTGCTCTGACGGACAATGAGCCGGATTTAGCGGTTATAATTAGCGTGCCCATGTCTGATTTCCATCATTTTGCCTCACGCTGTACAATTGAATGCCAATGCGGGTAGAATTTTTAGAACTGCATCTATTCACCTTATGACTCCATCTAATCCGGATACCATTGAGCCTTCTTGAGCATGACCCATACTTTTCCACTTCATCTTCTTTACCATCTCCATGAGTTCGGAAAGGTCCCACTCGTCTAGGTCTAAATAGAAAGTTTTATTTTAAACAAATATCACTAACATCTTTCCCCATTTCAGCTCTTGTCCACTTCATTTAGTCAGCCTTACCTTTTCGAGAACGGAGGGAAGATGTGGGTTTCCAAAACGTCTTTTATCGATTAATTCATGTTATAGATGCATGAACTACGTTAATCTGGTGCTCAAAAATGTGAACAATAATGAGCGAGACAGCGAGATGAACCTGGACTCAGTGGTGAAGTTCACTACATTCCTAGCAAAATTCGCATCGCCCATGGACATGAACCATGGAATGCAGCGTCTCATGAGCCCGACGTTTGGCAGTGCACCACAAAGCGTTTCTGGTTCATGTTGGAGGAATTGTAGAACCCAAGGTATTAGCCTATGAGGGTTGCGAAACCTCGAGCACCACGGATTATTGATCCCGTGACCGATCCAATGTCAAAATAGAACTAATCCACTGCTCCAATTGACGCGCTGGAGATGTGAGGTTGTGGTCTAAATGATGGTGCAAATGTAAAATGCTCCCATGACCAAGGAAAGAGCTATAACTCGGTGAATACGTCGAACACAACAAGCTCCAGCGGCCACCAGTACTCTCAACACCTACCGCAAACTCCCCTTCTTTCCCTCGCTCTGCGCTCCCACGGAATTAATAGCGAACGGCCACTGAAATGCACTTCGGAGGACATTTTAGTGGCCGTCAGTGCGACCCTCTGCGTCTCTAGCTGCACCATTGTCTTTCCTCTTTCTCTGCCGGGTTCTCGTGTATAGTCTAGGCCACCTTATTGACTGGCCACTAAGGAGTGTGGCGTAGACCTCGCCCACTCTCTGAGGCCAACGTGATCTTCCCTTGTTTCCTTACGCTTCCCAAGCGCGGACCAATGCGAGGTCAACGTGACATCTTCGTCACCTATACATAGACTGGACGTTTAGGCCGCTTTACTACCCACCCAGATGTTCTACAAGTAGCGGAGGACCACATGAGTTCACATCAACGCAGCGCAGAAAATCCATAAGGATTAAATCAGGTCTGGTGGTGCAATTTAGAATCTGTGAAGTCACAAGACTTCTGAGTTCAGTTCTAAGTTTACTTTGTGCCTCGGCAGTCCAACCTTTCAGAAGTTTACATGTGAATGTTGAAGTGCCAATTGATGCATGGTAGAAGACGGACTTTTGAAAGACCCAATTAGAACAAGTCACAGTTTTCTGAATAATAAAGACTAGCGAAAATATCTGTCAACGGTAATGTTTACTAAAATCATTATAAAATGATGCTAATCTGTGGATCATTGCCTCTTTCATCCATGTCAGTAGACGGCGATACTGTTGGATGAGCAGTTTCGCAACCAAATTTCACAAGTGAGCTTTCTGTCTCAACTTACTCAAGGGAAATGTGACTTTCTCATTGTTAGCTCCGTGATAGTAACGTGATCATGTTAATATGTACCAGGAAGCTTTAGGTAGAAAAAATTCCTGTGTATTCGTAGAGATCCTTACTTGATTATATTTATGTCGCACAGAACAGCTTCATAACGATAGAGCCGTTACCTACATGTTAATTCTTACCTGGAGGTAGCTGTGATCCTCGCGTCTCCATCTTAGCCATTTGAGGCGGCTCCAACCCAATCGAGGTGTCCAGTTGTTGTACATGCATGCTTGGTTGATGAGCTAAATCATCAGCAGGTTTGATTGGTTTGCCACGATCCTTTCTCAATACCATCTGATGATTGAAGCACAGTGATGTTCTAAGGACTGAAGGACCGGGATGTGGAATCTTCCTTTATTTGACACAGCACGGCGTTCTCAGTGGGTAGAGAAAGATCATCTCTCATGTCAAGCACAAAAGGAGATGAAAATGCAGGAACAAGAAGAACTGCTTGCCAAATTTTTGCTTCTTGTGAGTCCGTCTGTACAGGATGCCCAAAAGTCAAGAGCGCACACAAAGTGAATAACACTTACATGAGAAATTGTCAGCTGTTCGCTTGAAGCTTGCTCTACAAAACCCTTTCAGAATAACGAACTGCCGAGATTGTGAGATGTCTCTCATTGCCTACATTAATCCAGGTTTCAAAGGGGATGACGACTTCGTCTGCATGTCCTCTGGATACTCGGTATCGTGCTAACAAATGTAATCCTCACAGATAATGCATAACCTAGAGAAACTGAATGATATTGCCGCCCAACATGAAACGCCACTCCAAAATAGACGGCGGAGATGGAGTGCTGGACCGGCAAGCGGCGTTATTCGGGGCTGGGGTTAGTAACACAGCGATGAGGGCGCCCTTCGGCGCATACATGTCTTTGCTCACTTCCTTGGTGTCCTGTCGTCCTATGCAGTCCGAACAACTCCTCACGAGGAATTATCAATTGGGATGATACTGCGGGAGTGAATGGAATTGTTAAAACAAGGTACACTTCAAATGCATTGAAGGTTTTATGTGTGCTCATACTTTCGGCCATCCTGACATATACGCATGCACAGTGCATATGACATTTAGTAGGATCACACAGGAAGCAACAAAATCACGATAATTATGTGCGAGCAGTAATTATAGTTCTGCCTACTCTTTGCACTTCCATTTTTCTTGTCAAGTGGATTATTTTACTTTCATTTCGCTCATTCTTATTGCCACGTATCTCTCAAAAAATGAAGGTTTCCCTCATTCACGCACATTCACGAACTCTTATAGGAAGCAGATGTCTACGGGGACGATGTCCCTTCCTTTTCAGCCCAGTAGAGAATAATGACCCACAGTTTTTCTTCTGCAGTAATGAGCGTTCGGGGACCGACCAGGAGAATGTGGTGACGAAAGATGACAGAAGTAAAAAGCACGAATAAAAGATCTCCGGTATTTATAGCTTCGGCCCTGAGGAGGTGGAGCTTACAGGCTCACAGAATGTAAGAGAGTAACATATCTATTCAGACACAGATTAGGAGAGAGCTCTGGGCGGCAGCTCCGCGCGCGGGAAATCAATATTGGGCAGTCGCGAAAATTGAATTGAGGAAAACAAGTAATCAGTGGGCAGTACAAAGAAAACGAACATTGGTACATTAACAGTAAAAGTATGTCTACAACCTTACATTCCATGGTGATATTCTTCACACACTGACTTCATGATAGAAGCCGCCGAGCCTTACGAGTACACTTAACATGCACTATTCAAAACCATAATTGATATTCTTAGACAAGAATCATCAGCACATGCAGGTATGCTTGTCGTGGGTAGGGAGATCTCAGGCATTTTTGAGCAAGTTTTACGCATGACGCTAGCCATTTCACAGATTTGAATGGATAAGAGTGTGCTCATAACCGGGCGCTGGAATGCAGAGGATTCCTATAGAGCACCACTGGAGTGCCACAAAAATATTGAAAGTTTTGCGTGGTTTCACCTTGCATACGACTTTCCTTCTTAACGAATCCTGGAGGGCTTACGTGTATGGCTCACTTATCGACCCGGATATTCTCATAAGCCACCTATGCCAACAGATTCCCCTGATGCGAAGGAACAAGCGAAGTCTCAACACGATAATTCGGTTTCACTTATCAAGCTGGAGCAGTGCAAGCATACTCCCTTCAATTAGGATGATGGTGATTCTCGAAATATGCCAAGAGTAGCTTTGTTGGTAGCACATGACAAGTAGATGCTGCTCCAATTACTGTTATAAAACAAAATGGTCATGTAGGTATTCGTATCGCACAATAAGTCCAAAGATGGATAGAATGAGAGAGGAGTTTGAAGCTGCAATAGGTACCAGGAAAGCTTTGTACACCTTTATGCACCCTTCTCTGGAATTCCGAGGATGCAAGTTCAGGTGTCAAAACAACTCATAAGTGTTTCAACACTGACGACAAACGCAGGAAACATATATCCCGCGCATTGCAGGCCATGCCTGACTGTGAGATATATATTATGTTTCCTGCACCCATTACACGCATGTATTTTTTTTCGCGCACGCTTGATTCATTTACGAGTTCTCTGTATTCTTTCCATGGAAGAAAGCTTACCATAGGTACAAACGTAGTGCCCCATAGAATGGTCTCGTATTCTTTAATTCAGAAGAGTTTTTCTGAACGAGGTCTTCACTTTGTTTAAATTTTCTACTTTCTTTTTTTCTTTTTTTGAATGTGCGGATAAAATAGTAGTAGAAGTGAACACGTAACCTGAGGGAAGGATTATATGAGTTTTGATTGGACAGACAAAATTAAATTGCTTTCGAGGTCCATTGCAGCTAGGTCTAACAAGTTGCTTCTTTTATTGTTATTTCATGGACTTCGATCGAAAATCCACCACTGTACCTCTGCGAGCTTCTGCTTACTTAAACTCAGTGATCCAGTTTTGCATGAGCTATGATGCTATGAGCTATATTTATGTCTTTCTCACTCAATATCTACATAAATGACCTGAGGCGGCGACAAAATCGCGCCGGTACCACGCGGTCAAAAAAGCCAAATCTCGCGCTGTAGCCAATAATTCAATTCTTTTCTGATAACCTCGTTCATGGTATCGCGGGGCTTCGTGAACAAACCAATATGTGATCGCAACTAAAAAAAGAAAAAAGTGTTTCGACGGACCAGGTTGAGGTGTGGTGGAGCCGGATTCGTAGGGTAACGCATTCTTTGCAGCGAGCAGTTGTTCATGAATCTGTTTCAGTCTATTCTTCAACTTCCTGTTTTGCTCTTCGTATGCTCTCGCTACCCTGGAAATAAATGTCTGAATATCAAGCAGTGATAGCATGGATCTGAAGGTGTCCCAGTTTGTTTCAGATGCCTGGCTCAGATTTCTTCGTAGCCATAATCTATGATTTGCAGAAGAAGCTGTCAGTTTTCGGGCATTTCATGTTTGGAAGGGAAAAGGGAAATTGATATATCCTACCAGTACGCCTGAAAACTACATCTCAAAAGGACAAAGTAGATATTCGTGTAATGTTTCACAAGTGAAGTTAGCAGGATAAATTAGGGGCCGGTATGAGTGGAAAGTTGGGGTGAATGCTGCAAAGTAGGAGAATTTATGAATTTTCTTTTTAGCTCGAGTTTTAAAGTCTTCATTGTTTTAGTGCGTTCACTGCTCAAGTTTTCTTGACAAGCAATCGCAGCGCCATCGAGAAAATACCACTGGCCTACACACTCATCAGGTGCCGTTACGTTTGCTATCTGTCAGGGACAGCATTTCCACAAGAATCTTTCGACGATCTCCAATCAAGTGAAAAAGTTTAAATCGGTTTTGTATGCTCTCGGTATCATGTTAAAGTGCTTTGTGCATTGACACAAGACCCTGTTTTCACTCATAATCTTGAATCACAAAAAGAAGAAACGAATAGTGAACTCTTCGACCCGGGCAGAGAAACTCACTGAAACTCTTTGTGCGTATTAGCAATGAAACTGAGGATAATGAAGAAATTCAAAGTAACTCCAGAGCAGGGTCAACCCTACGTTGTTACTAGTAACAACGGGGGGGTCGTACCTGGTTGAGTTTGTAGGAGGGGGGGGGTCGTTCCCGCTTCAGTCGCGTGAAATTACATGTGAGTTTGTGGTGAAAGTGGAGTTTTCACGAGTAGTAGGCTGTGTGAGTTGGGAGCCCATGGGAGAGAAATTCGCTGTTTCAGCGTGCGTATCGTACCCCTAGAAAATGAGGTTGTGGGAAGATAGGTAAAATTGGGTAAAAGTAGTGGTGAGGGGTGAGAATGGTGGAAATAGAGGAAAATTATAGGAAATTTTTACTGTTTCAGAGTAGCTATATACCCCCCTCCCGCTCGACGGCAATTTTGGAGGAAAAAATGGGCGGGGTTTCGTGGGTTGAGTGCTACCAGAATTAAATGCTATAGATAGGATGATGGTGTGTCGAGGTGGTGGAGGTGTCGAAAAAAAGGGGGGGGGTCTTATCAAGTCCACCTTGGGGGAGGGGGGTCGTAAAATTTTTTCGAAAAATTAACAGCGATAGGACCGACCCTGCTCCAGAGTGAACTCCAATGCTCCAAAGTACGTAGAAGTCAATTAACGTTAAGTACCATTGAAATTCGTGAAATCCATACCTGAGTCTTCTCTTGTTCCTTTCATTAAGTTCATGAATTCGATCCGGTTGCTCTGGAGATGAGTCTGCTCTGAAAGGTTCCGCATTTATTGAAGCTGATTCTATTAAATTCCTCGTTGCTCTCACCCTAAAATAGTCCTTTTTATGGAGAAAAAAGACGAGTTTGTGTACAAATAGCGGTGCACGTACAATACAGTCCCTAATCAAGAACTGGAACATATTCAGTTACATCAAATTAAGGCTAGAGCCCAATTGTGTCTTATACAAGAGCTGTTTGGAACTGTTTTCTAGTGAAATATGCGGAGCTACGTCAATGGTATGGCTCTGTAAATCGTTCCTAAGCATCTAATTGTGTTGGAAGAGCGGCTACGTCACAACGGATCTAAAGCTTAAGAGCCCACTTTTTTGCTGGCAAGCCACGAAGCAATTGTGTTTGTAGATTCCGATCATTTGGGGCAGTCGTACGGAGCGCCGCTTTCGCTTTGCGATTCCGCTCCTAAAAGTTAACCGCTCATATAAACAAAAGCTAGTGTGACACTATTTCTGTTCACATGAAATGCATTTTTACTGCTCATACTGCTATTAAAGCAAACCCAAACAAATATGGCGACACGCACTCTATCAAACGAATAAGTACAAACAGAATCTAACATGAAAATACTTAATCACATTGCAGCTAATATTTACTGC